ATCCAGGTATGGATTAAAAAGTCCAGAGAAGGTTTCCGAGCGGGTTTCCCACGCCATCTGGAAAACCTGGAAGTGGATTAAATGACCAAGATATCCTGGAAAGAAATCTGTTTGTTGTCCTGGATTAAATGTTGATTGTTTAAAGTTACAAAGTTTCAAGTATCTATCTATCTATCTACTCTATTCTATCTTTTATCTACTCTATCTATCTATCTATCTATCTATTATCTATCTAATCTAATCTAAGAGGGTGACGACACAGAGTGGGAAATAACAGAGACACTATTCATCATGTTAATAATGAATAATAAATAACTGAAACCGTTAATTTAAGGTAGAAAAGTTACATAATGTTGCTTTAAATCAACCGCCTGAACAGTTCTCTTTGTGTTTCAGATTGACGAGGAAGACCGATCCGTGTCGTCAACGGAAGCATCTGTCCCTGAAGAAAGTTTCCAGAGGAGATGATCGTGATCGGAGGCGGAGTCATCGGAAGGTGGAGCTGGTCAGCCATCTTTTGTGTCATACAAACATAACCTGTTGAAGAATTTCACTCCCATACGAAACAGATGTGAATAATAAACCAGAAATAAAGCTTTTAACTTCGAACATGTTTGTCCTCCGTCCTCAGGGGTGCAGTGTGGCAGCGTCTGGGCTCTAAAGTCAGCAGCGGTGGAGTTCCCCTGGGCCACGTGGGCGGCCAATGGGGGCCATCGACTGGAGATTGTCCAAGAGCTTCCAGCGCATCCTGCAGAAGCCAGGGCTTCAAGTTCAAGCTTCGGCACCAAAGTCATGGGCGCCAACCAGGAAGGCCCGAGGCAAGATCCGATGTGGCGTGAGTTTTAAACGCTCCTGAATGTTCCCACATCCTGTCTGGAAATCCTCCATGAGTCCTGAAAAATGTGATTTAATAGAAGTCGTTTGTAACTGTGTGTGTGTGTGTGTCTGTGTCTGTGTGTGTGTGGTGTGTGTGTGTGTGTGTGTGTGTTTCAGAGTGGAGGCGGCGGCCGGAGGGAAGAACGAGACTCTGACGTGTGACGTGCTGCTGGTCTGTATCGGCAGACGACCTTTTACCCAGAATCTGGGTCTGGATTCTGTAGGCATCGAACTGGACAACAGGGGCCGCGTCCCCATCAACAACCGCTTCCAGACCAAAGTACCCAGGTACCCCCGATCTCAGGCTGGTTATAAACCACATATTGGAACCTTACACAGCTTATTGATGGTGTAAAAAAGTGAATCCTGCTCCTTCCACACTGAATACTGAGGATTCATCATCTCAACTGAGTCTCTGAGGCTAATTATCAGATTTGAGAGTTTAAATAATCTGATAAAGATCCATTAAAAGGTGGTTATGAAAGAATTGTCACCAAAACGTGTGCAGTGAAAATTAGACAAACTGTTGAGATAACATTCATGATGCAGAGATTATTAAATATTAAACTATACCTGCCACTGTGCATGTTTAAGTTTAGAGGCTCTTGGTTCTCCCCCTCAGTATTTATGCTATCGGTGACGTCGTCGCTGGGCCGATGTTGGCCCACAAGGCCGAGGACGAGGGCATCATCTGCGTGGAGGGCATGGCCGGCGGCGCCGTGCACATCGACTACAACTGCGTTCCTTCCGTCATCTACACGCACCCCGAGGTGGCCTGGGTGGGCAAGACAGAGGAGCAGCTCAAAGAGGAGGTGAGAGTCCGGAGATGATTAATGATGCTAACAGGTACGTACGCTGGGGTTGTTGAAAACGACACTGAGAGCAGAGATGTGGCTGGAAAACAGAAAAACTAAAACAAAGAGGGGCGATATGTTGAAATGTGCAGTAGTTTCAACTGAGAGTTCGCTTTAGTAAACAAAATAAACTCCTGAAATGTCAAGAAAGGAGAAGACAACACAGAAAATACTGTAACTTCTGAATTCAAGTTTCTCTGTTTTACTGAACTAAAAGCAGCTCAACTGCCTCGTTAACTCATCTTAAAACATACTTCATTCATTCAAACTCGACAGAAACTAAATAAAACTTAACAAACCACACATAAAACATGTTTTAAGTGTAAAATCTGAACCTGCAAGGTAGTAGAGTTTGAATATTAAGTAGCAGAAACTGGAAATAATGCAGCACAGTTTTAAGGTACTGTTCCACCACTGCAGACGAGACTGAAAACACATAAATAAACACATACATTTCAGTTTCCACTTGTTCTCTAGCATCTCCTGTCTTTCACAAATTCATCCACTTTCACATTCATACTCCCAGGCCACTGTGTAAGTCTTAACATAAAATTCCAGTTTTATTTGGCTGAAACTGTAATAATCTTGTTGTCGTGTCGTCTCTGTGTCTGGCAGTGTTTTACAGTGTTCCTCTCCTCCTCAGGGCGTCCCGTACAAAGTCGGCAAGTTCCCCTTCGCCGCCAACAGTCGAGCCAAGACCAACGCAGACACCGACGGCATGGTGAAGATCCTCAGCCACAAGGAGACGGACAGGATGCTGGGAGCTCACATCGTCGGATCTGTAAGAGCTTCAGAGACAGAACACACACAACTAACTGAGAATGACTGAGCGTCAGGAAGATCCTTAAAGTCTCCTTTACACAGCAGGAAAAGCACAAGTTTAACTACTAACATTTAACAATGGCTCTGTTCCATTCAGTGTCCAGTGAGGGAATGCAGCCCCCTCACATAGTCTGCAGTCACATCAGCGCCCCCGTGAGGTTGAAATGCTCATTACAAATCAGAAACAAATCGGAGAGAGGGTTTCTAATCTGAGTGTCTAACCACCAGTGGGTTGGCGCCAGAGGAAAAGTTCTGTTGTTGGCTAAATCACAAAGGCTCATCCTTTGTACGGTGGCCTTATTAGGACATCACACACTCAGAAACAGGAAACAACAGAATCTTGATTCTCATTTGAATGAATCGTATGTTTGACTCTAAACTGACCCGTAATTTACAAAATGAACATGATGCTCATCAGGAACAGTTTACTGAGCTCATAAATCAA